CTTTCCACAAAGCCACGTGGCTCAGCCTGTTGCAGCAGCGCCTGCCCTAAAACTCTAAACCCTAATCCGAAGATTAGAGGGCTTGTGTTTGCAGTTCTTAGTTTAGGGTTTAGGGTCTAGGGTTTAGGGTTTAGGGTTTAGTCTAGAGCCACAGGACCCAAGCCCCAGACAAATTCCAGAAGACTAAACAGAACCGCGCAACCCCTCTTTTTGCAATTTGCAACCCTTAAAAAGGGGTCCGTCGGTTAGTGTAGCCACAGAGGTTCTTGCAGTCAGCTCTCTGCTAATGCCAGACTAAACAAGCCAATCATGAACTAGACCCCCGTGAATTACTAATATATGAAGGAAGAAAGGTTCAGTTGTACTCAAGAAAAGATAACGTGATAAACGAGCGAATGCTTGTCTCTTAATGAAATTAGGCTCTTTTTCGATTCCGTTTAAATTACTAGACATTCCGACTGCACCATTGGCAGGTTCAGGTGTGGGCGGCAGCGACGAACCCTAAACCCTAAACCCCTAAACCCTAAACCCCTAAACCCTAAACCCTAGCGACGATACCAGAGACATCGATGAGGTTTCACTGTTCCACGAAGATCCAGGTTCTGCGGCGACTGCCGAAGAGCATGTGGGGTAGCTCTCTAAGTTAGGGTCCCTGTTGATTTCCAGGACCCCAATTAAACGGGACCCTAATCAGGGTTTAGCTTTTAGGGTTTAGGGTTTAGGGTTGAGTTCCAGGACCCGAATCAAACGGGACCCTAATTTAGAGAACTATTCATGTGTTGGCCGCGATTTTGGTGGCTCCTGCATCGCCTGCCGAAGACCTGGCGTTGGCCGGTTTAGGGTTTAGGGTTTAGGGTAAACCCTAAACCCTAAACCCTAAACCCAACGTGGCCAACATTGCCTCGACTCGTCTTCGCCCTCGAGCTCTTCGCCCCTGCGAGGGGATTTTGTCCTTGACCGGGCCCGAGCTTATCCCCCTGGGTTTGGGGTTTAGGGGTTGAAGGGTTTAGGGTTCAGGGTAAACCTTCATGCAGGATTCCAGGATCTAGCCGAATGGAACCCTTCAAATGCCTATTTTATATATCATACACGGCTACGAAACTTGATAATAGAGAAGCTTAAATTACCAAGACTATTCCTTAGGGCGCCTGTCTTGCATGCATAGCAGAAAACGCCCCACTTAGTCCAAATGTTAAGCCCCCTATGTTAAGAATTCTGTTTCCCTTACCCCGACGCCAGGCGCGGCATGGATGGTGCACAGGCACCTGGCAACTACATCGGAGGGGCCCGTGTCTCAGAAGTTGGGCATGAATAATTCCGAACTTATTCATGTCATAGTCCATGCAAGTTTCTGTCAAACTTTACGATATATAGATTATTCAAGCCCCTATGTTCGGATATTGGGGTAGGGAGTCGGATTGAGGGCTTTGCAGTAGCCCTAAGGGTCCAAGTGCCCAAATAGTAGGGTTTCAAGGTCCAAAAACCACGCAGAGGATGGATTTTGGGACCTAAGACCTTACTATTTGGGTACTCGGACCCTCTGGGTAGGCGATTCAGCTTTCTTTTAGGATCTCCGGCGTTTCGGTCTTTGCTGTAGGGGCTCGGCCGTCTTCGCCTTTCGGTTTAGGGTTTAGGGTTATCCAGGGATGTACGGTTTCTGGGGTTTGGAGTCTAGGGTTTCAGCTGGTTTGGGACTGTAGTAGTACTGTTTAGGGTTTACTACGATATTGAGCACGTTGTACACTAGGGCCGTGTTGTGTGTAGCCGCCTTGGAAGCAGCTCCGAAGTGAGCGTCTGTTTAAACCCTCCACAGCCCTCTCAACCGCCACTGGTCTACTGTTTAGGGTTTAGGGTTCAGCGTTTAGGGTTTTAGGAAAACGTCAGAGCCTCACATGACGCGATGGTTCTTGATGTGGTGACGGCAAACGGCCAGAGTTTCGCCGTGCGCTTCAGTCCAATGATCGTGCGAGTGCCGTCGTGTAAGATACTCCTTTGAGGTGGGTGGGGAAGGAATTCAATTGAGGAGGTAGTATTTGCCAGCATGGATACTTCACGCGCAGACCATCTTAATACATTTCATACACAGTGCTTTGTATTGGTCCGCTTCAAGCAAGCCGGCAGCATAGAAAAAGGGTCGAACCGCCGTATATAAGTATTCATAGTCCCGACATTTTCATGCACATTGCTACCCCTCTTTCCGCCCTCCGCCCCTTCCTTCGGGCCCTGCTCGAACTACACCCTAAACCCCAAACTCTAAACCCTCAACCCTAGACCCACTAAACCCTAAACCCCCTAAGCCCACTACCCACTAAACCCACTAAACCCCAAACCCACTAAACCCCTAAACCCGCTACCCACTTAACCCCTAAACCCTAAACCCACTAAAGCCCCAAACGCTAAACCCTCAAAGCGTGGGGGACGCCCAGGAGTGCGTCGACTGCCCTGAGAACTGCTACTCCTGTTCATCTCCCCAGAGGTGGGCTTCCTTGACATTTAGGGTTCCCAGAGAACCCAATACCTGGAATAGACCTTGAATCATAAGATTCAGGCCCCTATAACTCCTGTTCATCTCCCCAGAGGTGGGCTTCCTTTGAGGGTTTAGCGGTTTCGGGTTTAGGGTCTAGAGGTTTAGGGTTTAGGGTGACATTTAGGGTTTGGGGGTTTAGGGTTTAGGGTTTAGGGTGACATTTAGGGTTTAGGGTTTTCGGTGACCCTTGAAATTTTAGAGTCCGAAAATGAGGGGTGCCTGATTTTGGGAGGTCCTTATAATAAGGATCCTACTATGTAGGGTACTACGCAAGGGGCCGGGAGTCATTGACTGTTGGGTTTAGGGTTTAGGGTTTAGGGTTTAGGGTTTAGGGGTTTAGGGTTTAGGGGTTTAGGTTTTAGGGTTTAGGGTTTAGGGACCAGTATCTGCAAGGCCTAGCGGCTATCTGCCCTTGCCCTTACGACTGTAGTGCTCTGAAGATTTATGTTGCATCGTTAGTTATTATAAAACTTCAAGGGCTTTGGGTGTTTAGTATTGTGGTTCTAAAGGCGCTTAAGACGAGCCCTAACAGCAATGTTCTCTAAATTAGGGTCCCTTTATAGGGTCCTTTTTACAGGGGCGCCGTCCTATATTGGGGACCTGAAAAGGGATCCCAATTCAGAGAACTCCCATGCTGGTAGAGTAAATCGTATCAGCTCGAAGCGCTGGAAACCCTCAAAGGCAATTTCTAACTGCACTCTCTTACAGCCCAAGCATAAAAGTCATATAATCGAGCCCCAACGACGGAAACTACGTACGAGAGGCCCTAATTTTTCGCCACGACAAAAGCTCCCAAACCCTAGTAAAGCGCCATTTTCGACCCCAGAATCCTAAACCCTAAACCCTAAACATGAAACCCTAAACCCTGAATCCCTTGAAGGAGCCTTGCTCTAATTGTTAAAGTCCCTAGCTATGTACCACTCCCACATGGCGACCCCTCCCCTAACACAGCTGCCGGGTCGCCTAGGACCAGAAGGTAACAAAGTAGGCTTTAAGTTTAGGGTTTGGGGTTTAGTTTTAGGGTTTTAGGGTTTAGGGGTTTAGGCTTCAATAAAAGGACTAGGCTAAGGGATTGGGGGGCGAGCTAAAGTATGATTAAAACAGGGCCTTGCGAAGCAGTCGTAGCAGTAGTCGTAGTAGTCGACGTAGTACCAGTCGTCGTCGTCGACTTTGTAGCAGTAGTTGAACTAGAAGAAGAACTAGCAGTAGTAGTAGTAGTAGTAGTAGTAGTAGCAGGAGTAGTAGCAGAAGTAGTTCGCCTGAAATCGAAAAGCCCTGAGATGAGTTCGGCCTTGTGCTCCAACTTGTGAGGGTGCTTCTGGACTTCC